TTTCCCTCCTTTCCCCCCTTTCCCTCCTTTCCCTCCTCTCCCCTTTCCCCCCTCCTTTTCCCAGCCGTTTTTCCCTCCCGGAGATCTCCTGGCAGGGTCCCAACCCCGTGGGCAGAGAGAAAACGAACCCTCCGGTCCCCCCCGGGCTCCAAAATCCGGGGGCAAAAAGGGCAAAAACCAGCAAAACAACGACAACAATTAAAAAAAAAACAAACCACCTTATTTTTTTCCTCCTCGGTGAAGAAATAAGTGAGGAAAAAAGAGCAAAAAGGGCGTTTTTGGCAGCCAGAAATGATTCATAACGACCCCTCCGACCCCAAGGAGGTTCCAGGACCTCCCTGGCGGATCCCGAGGAGCTTAAAAAGGCCGGGAAGGAGCCGGAATTCGGGGAGAAGGAGCTGGGAAAAGGAAAAGCAGGAGGTGGGTTGGGATTTTCCTCCTTGCCTTTAGTCCCAGGCTGGGAAGGGATGAAAACAGGGGAGAAAAAAGGGCTCGGGCACAGGGATAAAAATCTGATTTTTGGGGAAATAAAGGGGGAAAAAGGGGGGGGGGGGGTGGAATTTTTAGGGAATCCGGCAAAAAAGAAGGGGTGGGAAAATTGGAATGGGTTTTAATGAGTTGAAATGAAAAAAATTAAATTTAAATTATTAGCCAAAGATAATAATATCCAAATATTATATCCAAGGATATATTATGTATGTCTTTTATATATCTTTTATATAGATCTTTTATATATATCTTTTATATATATTTTTATATATCTTTGTATATTTTATATATCCAAATATATTATATATATCCAAATATATTATATATATCCAAAGATATATATATCTTTTATATATCATATATATGTTTTATATATAATTGGACATTTTATATATCCAAAATATATTATATATATCCAAAGAGATATATATATATATATCTTTTATGTATCTATTATATATATGTTTTATATATAATTGGACATTTTATATATCCAAAATATATTCTATATATCCAAACATATATTATATTTATCCAAAGATATACATATCTTTTATATATCTTTTATATATCATTGGATATTTAATATATCCAAAAATATATTATATATGTCCAGAGATATATTCTTTATATCTAAAGATATATTCTTTATATCTAAAGATATATTATATATATCTTTTATGTATCTTTTATATATATTCCAAGATATACTCTATATATCCAAAGATATATTTTATATATATATCCAAAGATATATTTTATATATAATCCAAAGATATATTTTATATATATCCCACGATATATTCAACATATCATATGTATCTATATAACTTTTATATATATTTGGATATTCTATATATCCAAAGATATATTATATATACATCCAAAGATATATTATATATATCTTTTATATATATCCTTTATATATATTTTATATATATCTTTTACATATCATTGGATATTCTCTATATCCAAAAATATATTATATATATATATGGAAAAATATATTGTATATATCCAAAGATATATTCTATATATCCAAAGATATATTCCATATATATCCAAAGATATATTCTATATATCCCAAGATATATTCTATATATCCCAAGATATATTCTATATATCCCAAGATATATTCTATTTATCCAAAGATATATATTCTATATATCCAAAGATACATATTCCATTTATCCAGATATATTCCATATATATCCCAAGATATATTGTCTATATATCCAGAAATATATTCTATATATCCAAAGATATATTGTCTATACATCAAAAAAAATATATCTTTGGATATATGTATCCAAAGATATATTTCATATATATATCCCAAGATATGTTCCATATATATTCCAAGGTATATATTCTATATATCCAAAGATATATTCCATATATATCCCAAGATATATTATATATATTCCAAGATATATTCCATATATATCCCAAGATATATTCCATATATATCCCAAGATATATTCCATATATATCCCAAGATATATTCCATATATATCCCAAGATATATTCTATATATCCCAAGATATATTCTATATATCCAAAGATATATTCCATGTATATCCCAAGATATATTCTATATGTCCAAAGATATATTCCATGTATATCCCAAGATATATTCTATATGTCCAAAGATAAATTCCATATATATCCCAAAATATATTCTATATATCCCAAGATATATTTTATATGTATCCCAAGATACATTATCCAAAGATATTTTCCAAAGGTGGGATCGGGCACATGGATAAAAATCTGATTTTTGGGAAACAAAGGGGTGAGAGGGGGGGTGGAATTTTTAGGGAATCTGCCAATATAATACATAATGTAATATTAAAATATATAATATATAATATTAATCTAATCAATATATAAATATTATAATATATATATAATATTATAATATATAATATATAATATAATTACATAATATATATAAATACATAATATATAATATATAATGTATATCATAATATTATATTTATACTATATAATATTATAAATACATTATATAATACATAATAGTTTATTGTACCAATATATATTACAAATTATATTGATTTAACCAACTATATTAAATTATATTTGTTTTTAAAATATTTTAATTACTTATTTTAAATTATTTAATATTAAACATTTAAATTATATTATTTGAAGTTATTTAATTATATTAATATATTTTAAATTATATGTATAATAATTATTTTTCTATATCAATATAATCATCTAATATAGTATTATAGTATTATATTTATATTATTATATATAAGTTATAATATTAATATATATTATTACTAAGAACATATCATTTATACTATATATTATATAACTGTATATTTATATATATCTATATATTGATATATTATATAATTATATATAATATTATTAATACTATATATAATATGTATATATATATATTATTATTATATATATTTATATATATAATAATGACTATATAATATATATTATCAATATATAATATATTAATAACATTAATATATTGATATCGTTAGCATATATGTATAGGTATATATATATATATTTTTATTATTTATATTTGTAATTATTATATTATATATATAATATGATATTATAATATATTAATTATAATATTAAATATATAGTCTTAGTAATGATATATTATACATTTTATATTAATTATATGATATAACTATTTTAATATATTATAAAAAATTATTTTTATTATATATAAAATTTATTATATAAGATATATAATATTATATATTTAACACATATGATATTACATATACAATATCATATACAAAATATATAACATAATATAAATTATATCATATAAAATTACACAATAAAATTTAAGGATTATCTTTGGATTCGTTTCTCTTTGGGTGTCATTCCAGGGGCCAAGGCACATCCCGGTGGGAATTGCGACGGGATTCCCGCAGGGACTGGGAGGTGGGTGGGAATCCCGTCCCGGGGCATTCCCGGCGGGATTTGGGGCATTCCCGGTGGGATTTGGGCATTCCCAACAGGATTTTGGGGCATTCCTGGTAGATTTGGGGCATTCCCGGTGGGATTTTGGGGCATTCCCGGCAGGTTTGGGGCATTCCTGGCAGGATTTGGGGCATTCCCGGCTGGATTGGGGCATTCCCGGCTGGATTGGGGCATTCCCGGCTGGATTGGGGCATTCCTGGTTGGATTGGGGCATTCCCGGTGGGATTTGAGGCATTCCCGGTGGGATTTGGGGCATTCCCGGTGGGATTTGGGGCATTTCCCGGTGGGATTTGAGGCAATTCCCGGTGGGATTTTGGCATTTCCCGGTGGGATTTGAGGCCATTCCCGGTGGGATTTGGCATTTTTCCCGGCTGGGATTGGGGGCAGTTACCCGGTGGGATTTGGGGCTATTCCCCTGGTTGGGATTTTGAGGCATTCCCAGCTGGATTGGGGCATTCCCGGTGGGATTTGGGGCATTCCCGGCGGGATTTGGGGCATTCCCGTTGGGATTTGGGGCATTCCCGGCGGGATTTGGGGCATTCCCGGTGGGATTTGGGGCATTCCCGGTGGGGTCTGTGCCTCCCGCAGGCCGATCCGATGGTGCGGTGGCTGTTCCTGGCCGGGCTGGTGCTCGCCCTGCTCTTCCCACCGGGAATCCAGGCGGCTCCCGAGGGCTTGGATGGCCCATCCAGGTATGGAATGTGGGATCCAGGAACATTCCCAGCGTCCCTCCGGGAACATTCCCACTTCCCCCAGGATTCCTGGCCTGTCCCAGACCAGGGACATTCCCATTGTCCCTCCAGGAACATTCCAGTGTCCCCCTAGAATTCCTGATCTATGACAGACCAGGAACATTCCCATTGTCCCTCCAGGAACATTCCCATGTCCCCCCAGAATTCCTGGTCTCTGGCAGACCAGGGACATTCCCGTTGTACCCCCAGGGACATTCCCATTGTCCCCACAGGGACATTCCTGTGTCCCCCCAGGAATTCTGGGCTCTCTCAGATCAGGAACCTTCCCATTTTCCCTCTAGAAACATTCCCATCATCCTTCCAGGAGCATTCCCATGTCCCCCCAGAATTCCTTGTCTCTGACAGACCAGGGACATTCCCATTGTCCCTCCAGGAACATTCCTGTGTCCCCCCAGGATTCCTGGGCTGTGTCAGACCAGGAACATTCCCATTGTCCATCCAGTAACATTCCATTGGCCCTCCAGGGACATTCCCATTGTCCCTCCAGGAACATTCCAGTGTCCCCCCAGAATTCCTGGTCTCTGACAGCCCAGGAACATTCCCAGTGTCCCTCCAGGAACATTCCCAGTGTCCCTCCAGGAACATTCCTGAGTCCCCACAGGATTTCCAGGCTGTCCCAGACCAGGAACATTCCCGTTTTCCTCCAGGAACATTCCCATGTCCCCCCAGGATTTGTGGGCTCTCCCAGACCAGGGACATTCCCATTTTCCGTCCAGGGACATTCCCATGTCCCCCCAGAATTCCTGGTCTCTGACAGACCAGGGACATTCCCATTGTCCCCCCAGGAACATTCCCAGTGTCCCCCAGGAACATTCCTGAGTCCCCACAGGATTTCCGGGCTCTCCCAGACCAGGGACATTCCCATTTTCTGTCCAGGGACATTCCCGTGTCCCCCCAGAATTCCTGGCCTCTGACAGCCCAGGGACATTCCCGTTGTCCCCTTGCCCCTCCCCTTGGACATTGCGGATTTATCTCCATTTCCATGCCCGGGATGATCCCGCCGGGATGGCCGTGAAATCCTGGGATTTGGTTTTGGGTTTGGTTTTTCCTCTTCCTCCTCTTCCAGCCGGAATTCCGAGGGATCCCGGAGCTCCCGAAGCTTCCCATCCGACGCCAAGAGACACTCGGAGGGGACCTTCAGCAGCGACTTCACGCGGTTCCTGGACAGGATGAAGGCCAAGGAATTTGTCCACTGGCTCATCCAGGGCAGGAGGTGCCGGGAAAAGGGAGAGGGGAGGGAAATAAACCTGGAAAACCACCTGGAAACCACCCGGGAAACAACCTGGGAAACAACTTCCCACTATGGAAACCCCAATCTGGGCAGGAGAGCGGGAGAAGGGAAGGATCCCGGGAGAGCTTGGAGCCACTTCCAGGGCCTGAAGGGGCTCCAGGAGAGCTGGAGAGGGACTGGGGACAAGGCATGGAGGGACAGACACAGGGAATGGCTTCCCACTGGGAAAGGGGGGATTTAGGGGGGATTTGGGGAAGGAATTCCTGTCTGGGAGGGTGGGGAGGCCCTGGGATGGAATTCCCAGAGAAGCTGTGGCTGCCCCTGGATCCCTGGAAGTGTCCCAGGCCAGGCTGGATCCCCCTGGGATGGTGGGAGTGTCCCTGCCCATGGAAAGGTGAGATGGGAATTGGAATTTTTTGGGATGGGAATTGGAATTTTTTGGGATGGGAATTGGAACTTTGGGATGGGAATTAGAACTTTGGGGTTCCTTTTCCAGGTACAATTAAAGAGCAAATCCCAGTTTTCCAGCCCCATCCCGAGGGGAATCTCCAGCTCCAGCCACCGCCGGAGGCTCCACGGGAAGGATTCGTCCATCCCGGGACCATTCCATGATTCCCTGCTCCTGGAATCTGCTCCCACGGATCCCCCTTCCCTCAAATCTGGCATTCCCAGCTTTTGTTTCCTCAGGAGTTTTCCCTAAATCCCAATAAAACCTTTGCTGGCTCCGCTGGGTCCTGAGAAAATGAATCCAGAAATTTCAGCCTTTCCCAAAAACTCTCCTGGGATAAAATGAATCCAAAAATTTGAATTTTTGGGAAAGGCTGAAATTTATGGATTCATTTTATCCCAAATTTCAGCCTTTCCCAAAAACCCTCTTGGGATAAAATGAATCCAGAAATTTTTCGGGTTTCCCAAGAACTCTCTTGGGATAACATGAATCCATACATTTCAGCCTTTCCCAAAAAATTTACAGACCCCAAAACACCCCTTTAGGGACCCCAACACCCCGAAAAATCCAACGGGATTTTCCAAACATCCTCGATTCTTTACAGAAGGTTCTGGGATTTTGGGATGTCCTGGATGATCCCTGTGGGTCCAGAGTGGGATTTTGGGATTTTGGGATGTCCTGGATGATCCCTGTCGGTCCCAGAGTGGGATTTTGGGATTTCCTGGATGATCCCTGTTGGTCCAAGGCGCGAATCCACGGATTTCCCCCGGGAATTTTCCATGGATCCCCTCGGGAAGGAGCCGAGGGCGAG